TCTCTAAAGGAGAAATCAGGGAAAGGCATGTACAGGAATCTCACCAAAGCACTAAACATCAAAGACAATATGTATCTATTAATGCAGCCAATTGTGGCTCAGAAAAAAATCATTTATATTTCATTTCAATCACTAACACCCAGTAAATAGACAAGGTTTCATCTTGGACCTGTACAGGGTCAGAAAGAAGAAACCCATCCTTATAGGAAAAAGAAGGCAGGCAGGCATCAAATTAATTTTTTGTTGTTGAACCCATTAGAGAGAGGAGTCATAGGACAAATGGCCAACTCAGAGACAGGCATGTCTACAGGGTGACAAAGGGTAGGAGCATTTGTTTACCTAGGGCAGAAGCCACAGTAGGAACATTAAACTAGAAATTGTGACGAATTGCTGGGGCCACATGAGGACTACTGTGAGTGTCAACATTCCTGGGGGCTGTACCCATAGGAGTTTTCCACCCTCTTGTAAGCTTCTTTAGACACCCAACCCAGCTCTCCTAGAGAAGATGGGGGGAAACCTGGAGAAACGCTCCCCTAGTGGTGTTGTCAAGGCCCCCGGCTCCTTTACTGAACAAAAGGCTTCATCAAGTGAGGGCACTGGTATCATTTCATTAGTGCTGGGGGGAAAGGAAAAGCACCCAGACTCAGCCCCCCTGTGTGATCTAAGGGAGAAGCCAAGCCTTCATTTACAGGAGGAAGAACCTCAAGGACATAGACTGAGAAGACCAGAGGATACCTGCTGCAGGTAGACGGGGAAATGAGGTGGGATCCAAAAAGCCCTACCCCTTAAGTCCACCTCCCCCATCTCACCCCCAGACTCAGGACCACTGTGCCATCCAAAGACCAAAGAACACCATCCCTCCCCCATGCCCTACACCACCATGCTAATGCCTCCAGTGATAATAGTGGTTTACAGCTAGGAGAGCTGCAAAAGGTAATCTCTCTGAGGACAAGCACAAAGGGAAGGCTCAAAGCCAAGGTCACTAGAGGAATTCAAAGTCTCTGGTACCCTCATACACTGCTGACTGGAGTGTAAACTGATGAAACCTATTTGGGCAAAAATCTGGCATTCCCTCATATGGTTAAATAAATTTACCATATAGCCCATTACTATATTCCACACCTGGTGTTACTCAAGACAACTGAAAACATAATGTCCACAGAAAAATTTGTACATGAATGTTCATGGCAGTGTTATTCTTAACAGTCTAAAAATGGAGATAATCCAATTGTTCATCAACTAATGAATAAATAAAATGTGATATATCTATACAATGGACTATCATTCAGTAATAAAAAGATGAAGTACTGATACATGCTAAAACATGGATGAAACCCCAAAAGGTTATCCAGAATGAAAGAAGCCAGACACAAAAGGCTATATATTATGCTTCCATTTATATCAAATATCTAGAATAGGCAAATCCATAGACAGAAATTAGATTAGTGGCTGGCAGGGGCTGGGAGTAGGCGTTGGGGAATCACTACTAATAGGTAAGAGGGTTTCTTTCTGGGATGATGAAAAGGTTCTAAACTTGGATTGTGGCAATGGTTACGTAACTCTGTGAATATACTAAAACAGGGGTGGGCAAACTTTTTGTGGCAATGGTTACGTAACTCTGTGAATATACTAAAACAGGGGTGGGCAAACTTTTTGACTCGAGGGCTACGATGGGTTCTTAAACTGGACCGGAGGGCCAGAACAAAAGCATGGATGGAGTGTTTGTGTGAACTAATATAAATTCAAAGTAAACATCATTACATAAAAGGGTACGGTCTTTTTTTAGTTTTATTCATTTCAAACGGGCCGGATCCGGCCCGCGGGCCGTAGTTTGCCCACGGCTGTACTAAAACCTACTGAATTATACACTTTAAATGGATAAATTGTATGGTGTGAGAATTATATTTAAAAAATATGTTTGAAATGTTTTATTCAAAAAGGAGATTGTTGGGGTGTCCATGGACATTACCTGAGAGGCCTTGACGTGCACTCCCACCCAGTAATCACAAGGTGCCCCTCCTCCTCAATGTGATATCAGCAGAGACTGTTACTATAGCCCATCAGTAATGTGGTACCCTTACCACCACCACCCCCCTGCTATCAGGTAGGCAACAAGGAGTAAGGAAAGTTAAGAATAACCCTCCTCCTTTCCCAGAGAGATAACAGAACTAGGCTAACAGCCTAGGAATTCTGCAACTGGTGATAAAAGTCAGCACCCCTCTTCCCCACCGGCCTGGTTATTATGGAGGCCTGATAAAACAGGTTTAAATAAGACTTAGTGTCGGATAACATAATTCCAAAAGAGTCCAGGATACAATGGAAAGCCACTCATCAAACTAAGAACTGGGAATGAGAAGAGACAATAGACACTAACAGCAAGATGACACAGATGTTAGAATTGTCTGACAAGAATTGTTAAAGCATCCATCATAAAAATGCTTCAGTGAGAAATTACAAACACTTTTGTGAAATGAATAAATTGAAAGTTTCAGCAAAGATATAGAGGATATAAAGACTAACCAAATGAAAAATTTGAAATGGAATAATTTAATAACTCAAACTCCGGGGACAGGCTCAATAGAAGAATGGAATTAACAGAACAAAGAATAAGGGAATAAGAAAAATTATGCAATCTGATCAACAGAAACAATATACACTGAAAAAAACCCTGAAGAGTCTGAGGGACCTGTGGGAAAATAACAAAAGAGATAACATTCATGAAATTGAAGTCCCAAGAAAAGGAGGAGAAAGAAGGTGGAACTGAGAAGAATAGTTGAAGAAATAATGGCTGAAAATTTCGCAAACTTTACATAAGATATAAACCTAGACTTAAGAAGCTGATCAAACACCGAACAGGATAAACCAAAACAAATCTACGCCCGAGAACACAACAGTCTAACTTTGGAAAACAAAAGACAAAGACAAATCTTGAAAGTAACTGGAAAAGACATGACTGATTACCCGTAAGGGAGCAACTATTTGAATGACAGCAGACTTCTCAAATGCTGAAAGAAAAGTGTTGTCGAAGCAGAATTCTATATCAGTAAAAATATCCTTCAGAAACATAGGTGAAACCTAGACATTCTCAAAAAAAAGAAAATTAAAAGAATTTATCACTCGAAGACTTACCCTAAAAGAGTGGCTAAAAGAAATTCTTCAAACAGAAGGTAAATGAACAAAAGGAAAGTTGGAAAATCAGGAATAAAATAATAGACTATCCTCTTCTTGAGTTTTATAAATAATTTTTGATGGTTGAAGCAAATATTCCAACAATGTTGAATGTAATTCTCAGTGTATGTACAAAAAATATTTAAAACAATTATATAATAAAGGTAGGGGGTGTAAATGAACCTAAATGGTGGTAAAGTTTCTATATTGTTCTATAATATCTGGTTCTCTGTTTTATAACAGCATGTAAAATATAAATGAAAAAATTTGCTCCCAGGCGCTCAATTCCCCTTATGCCTTGAAACAAAACACTTATTCTCACTGACCTAGAAGCAACAGGTCTTAAGAACCAAAGCTCTTGAGCCACTCTATGTTCTAGGACTGGCTGTCCTCAGTAGGAAAGTAGCAAGGTTTCTTTGTCACCATTCTGTAGTCAAGGCCTCCTTTGGAGAGATAGGGAATTTATTCTGCTCCTGTTAATGTGCATTTTTTCCTAAGTTTTTCTGTATGACACAGACACATATAAACACACTCTGATATTCTACTGAGCCTAGAAAGATCCCTGGCAAAAGATGAAAATGGAAAGTGACCTCTGAGAAAGGGAGAGAGAGATGCTCACTATGGCTTATACCCTAAAGCAATGTTCCCCACTCCCCCATATGGGGGCAGGTAGAACCTGTGACTTGCTTCTAATCAATAGAATGTAGCAAATGGGATGGGATATCACTCCCATGATCATGTTATGTTACGTAAGACTCAGTCCTAGCAGATGGGAGTGAAAACACTTTCCCCTTGCTGGCTTTGAAAAAGTAAGCTGCCATGTTTTGAGAGGATCTATGGAGAAGGCCACATGGCAAGGAATTATAAGCAGCATCCAGGAGTGGAGGGTAGTCCTCTGCCAAAAGCCAGCAAAATAATCCAGAGACCTCAGCCCTCCAGCTACAAGGACATTAATTCTCCAAACAATCTGAGAGAGCTTAGAAGCAAATTCTTCCCTAGTCAAACCTCCAGATGAGAACACAGCCCAGCCAGCACACTGACTACAGCCTTGAAAGATCTTGAAAAGAGAACGTAGGCACACTGTGCCCAGACTCCTGACCCACAGAAACTGAGATAATACATGTGTACTGCTTTAAGCCACTAGTTTTGTGCTAATTTGTAATGCAGCAGTAGTTAACTAACACACCCTCTTTTCCTTTGCAGCCAAGGAAGTCTAGTCATAGTAGAAGTGAAATATGCAGGCCAATTTCTCATTTAATTTTCACAGAGAAAAAGTCTACAGGATCCACTAAACCATTACCAAGGATAGCTCTGGCACTTTCCTGCCCTTGGGGCAGAACATGACCAATCTCACCAGGAGTAACACATTCTTCTTGGGCTGTCAGTGTTCTGAAGGCTGTAAGGACCCACCACAGCCCAGATCTCCAACCTGGTCAGTCATTCCCTTCTCCATCCACAACTTCCTCATCTATCCCTTCCTGCACTGCCTCCCATCTACCAACTTAGCTTTTTACAATGATAGGCCAGATCTTTGGGTCCTTCCCAATTCCCTAAGTCTAGCTCCCTTTGACTTCTTGGCTAAGGGGAGGCTTTATATTCTAAAGCCAGGCATTTAAGTGTAATTGCCAAAATGAAATCACAGTGTGATTACTGTTTTCCCAAAGGATAAAAGAGAATTGAATCTTTTTTGAAAAACAAAACAAAAAGTCATCAGAAACAAGCCTTCCATTGGCACATAGTTTGCTCCTTTCATCTCCAAGACCTGGGTATTGTAGGTATGTAGACAGAAGGCAGCCATTTTTTAAGTCTAAAAATTGAATATCTGATCTCACCTCCGCAGATTTCTTGTGCACATTTGGAATTTTTGACTTGTTCCTATACCTTGAGCCAGTAAAAGAAGTAGAAGGACCTGCAAAAGATAATTAGAAAAAATACAGAGACTTATTACCTGCTAATATAACTAAATGCCATCCAAGAGAATATGAAAGATATGATGGAGAAGAACATAGTAATCTCGTACATAACACTGAAGAAAGTTAAATTACAACCAAAAAAGCCTCATAATGGAGTTTAATGACATTTATAGGTGACCTCCCAGTGTGCAAAAGCTTCAGCAATGCTAATGCTGAGGAGATTTGATTTGATATAATCATACCTTATAACATTTTGGAATAACATGATTCATGTTCCACCTGGAGAAAAAATATCTGCAAAAGCAACTGGTAAAACTAAAAATGTAGAACAAGTAATGTATATATCCTTCAGCACTTCCCCAAATGCTATTGTTAATAAGGTTGTTGCCTTTTACAATTGATGACTCATCCAGTCAAACATTTAGTACCTGAGCTGTAATTAGAATTGTAGGGCCTATAATTTATGCTCTTATACTTTTCTTCCTTTCTAAAAAAGCACTGTTAAATCATTATTTGATTTGGCATTTCTTTAGGTTAGTGAAAAGTGAAAAACAAATGCTATATGCCATACAAAACCAATTTTCCCACCTAACTTACCAATTTCTAATGAAATTTAAATGAAAAAAAAAAATGGTATCCCAAGCTTTCTTTCCTAAAAACATTATTTTTTAACCACTGAAGAAAGATGAAACAGGCGGTCCTCAAGTCAAAGAAGCAATCCTTAAGGAGTATAGATACAGGGGTTACCAGCCGTTGGCTGGATTACTCACTGCCATCTGAACTGTCACTGGTGCTGAAAGTTCTACGACGCTTCATTTTGTAGCATCCTGGGAAAGAGAACAACACTGAATGAAACAGTACACACATACCCCAGAAGACAATCAACACTTTCCTCCAGATCCCAAGAAGCAGCAGCAGGCCAATCATACAAATCAAATGATTTTTGTCAAGAATATTCTCAAATGATCTAGAGCAGCGGTTCTCAACCTGTGGGTCGCGACCCCTTTGGGGGTCGAACGACCCTTTCACAGGGGTCGCCTAAGACCATCAGAAAACATATATATAATTACATACTGTTTTTGTGATTAATCACTATGCTTTAATTATGTTCCATTTGTAACAATGAAAATACATCCTGCATATCAGATATTTATATGACGATTCATCACAGTAGCAACATTACAGTTATGAAGTAGCAACGGAAATAATTTTATGGTTGGGGGTCACCATAACATGAGGAACTGTATGAAAGCGTCGCAGCATTAGGAAGGTTGAGAACCGCTGATCTAGAGTGATGAGAGAAGAATACCACCAAATTCTCTAATACAGTGTGTGCCAAAGACTGGGTGAGGACAGATATTAGCCTTAGGAGGAAGTCCATGCAGCAGAGGATGAATAGCATAGGATTGGCTGGAGTTTCAGATGTGGTCACATGACCAATGTCCACCCAAACAGAGGGGGCAGGCATGAGGCCCTCACAAGCCAGGAGGAGCAGAAAAGAAAAAGGCAGTAGCAAAGGCAGAATTGTCAAGAGCCAAGGTTGAAAGGCATGAGACATGACCGGCTGAAGAAAGAACAAGGGAAGTATGTCCCATCTTGAAGAGCACACCACACTGCTCTTCTGCCTGCCTTTTCTCCCTCTTTCTCACTTTATCTCTGTCTCCATCCCAAAACAACTAGCCAAATTTAAAATTACATCTACACATGTACTGCAAGGAATGCCATAGAAAGCTCCTATTTGTCAAAATACATAATGCTTTTGACTAATTGGGACAAGTGTCTTTCCTTGTGTGTGTAGCCAATGGCAGATAAAAAAGTGGCCCCATCTTTCTAGAAACACTCCAGCACTAGAATGTAGGAAAAAAAGAGGACACAGATATGTCAAGTCACAAAGGAAGTGCTCAAAATATAAACTAGAAAAGACAGTGTATGTACAGTCAGTAACTGACATTCCATTATGTGCCACAGTATACAAAATGCTACTAGGGCCAATCATGATTCCACAAGGGACAATTGGCATGACAATGTGAAGAGCTACATGGACCCACCCCTCAGTGAAACCGGTGAAAATTATGTTAAAAAGAAACAAAAACCCACTAATTTAAAATCTAAGCTCATACAGCAAATGAAGAAGCATTTGTCAAAGGAAACCTACTAAAACTCAGTAAGTAAAGTAAGAGTCTATAGTATTTGGGCCTAGACCCATTCCCTTTATCCTCCATCCCAGCACAGATGTCAGTCACACCAGACTGGTACATCTAAGAACACAGAGCTCCCTTTGCCCCAGCTCCCAGATGCAAGGCTTTCTTCCTGGGAGGGACAGGACATCAGCATTTCTCATCCTGTCCCCAGCTACCTATTGCTGAAGCTACGTTCCAGAAAAGTGTGGCAGAGAGGTGAGGGCTCACTTCTTCCAGGTGGCCCCCACTCCTGGGGTGGAGGCTATGCCTTGGGTATGGTGGAATGAGTGTTCTACATTAGTAGAGGCAAACTTAGGAAGTTTGGGGATGCCACTCAGAGGGAAATACATAATTGTCCCCACCCCTTGCAATAGAGCTGTGGCTCAGAGATTTTTCCTAGTGGGAGAAGCAGGTCATAGAATAGAGGGCTCCAAATCTTCCCCCAGTGGTAATTACTTCATTTGTAACAGAGTGTGGAAAAGTTGTTCATGCCTAGGTTGGCTAGCAATGCTAGACAGAATCAGGGAAATAGAGAGCTGGAAGGAACCATTCTGAGTTCCGAAGCAATCTCAAACACTGATCTTGGGAACTATCCCTTCAAAGGAGCCCTAATTTGAATGGATCAGTTTGTGGAGCAATTTATATCTCTGGGCATTATTAAAAACAACAGAGCAATCAGCCAGCAATTAGTGAAAACTTAATAGCTGGGTGTGGTCAGGGAAAGAGACAAAAAGAGCCCTGCCAAAAAATACTACCATTCCAGGATAACTGTGGGCATACCAAAGGCTGTACCCTTAAGAAGCAACAACAAGCCCTGACCGGTTTGGCTCAGTAGATGGAGCGTCGGCCTGCGGACTTGGGGGTCCCGGGTTTGATTCCAGTCAGGGGCTTGTGCCTTGGATGCGGGCACATCCCCAGTGGGGGTGTGCAGGAGGCAGCTGATCAATGTTTCTCTCTCATCGATGTTTCTGGCTTTCTATCCCTCTCCCTTCCCCTCTGTGAAAGAGTCAATAAAATATATTTTTAAAAAAGCAACAACGCCAAAACCGGTTTGGCTCAGTGGATAGGCGTTGGCCTGCTGACTGAAGGGTCCCGGGTTCGATTCCGGTCAAGGGCATGTACCTGGGTTGCGGGCGCTTCCCCAGTGGGGGATGTGCAGGAGGCGGCTGATCGGTGTTTCTATCTCATCGATGTTTCTAGCTGTCTATCCCTCTCCCTTCCTCTCTGTAAAAAATCAATAAAATATATATATATATATATATATATATATATATATATATAAATATATATATATATAAAGCAACAAGACTTCACACTGCAGGGCAAAAGGAAGGAGTAAATAGACTTCAATAAAATAATCCAGATAGTCACTAAAGTAAAGAAGGAAATAATAATAAAGAGCCCAGGGTGGTGGTGCCAGTACCCAGAGTTACTACATTATATTATCTAAAATGTCCAGTTTCCAACAAAAAATATGATATGAAAATAGGAAAGTATGACCTATACCAGTGATGGTGAACCTTTTGAGCTTGGTGTGTCAGCATTTTGAAAAACCCTAACTTAACTCTGGTGCCGTGTCACATACAGAAATTTTTTGATATTTGCAACCATAGTAAAACAAAGACATATTTTGATATTTATTTTATATATTTAAATACCATTTAGCAAAGAAAAATCAACCAAAAAAATGAGTTCACGTGTCACCTCCGACACGCGTGTCATAGGTTCGCCATCACTGACCTTATACACTAGCCAAAAAGCAAGTGACAGAAAATGCTTGTGAGAGCAAACACATGTCAGATTTAATAGGCAAAGACTTCAAATTAATCATATAAATATGTTCAGAGAACTAAAAAAAAAATGATTAAAGGAATAAAGGAAGGTAAGAATATCATCCCAGCTGGTATGACTCAGTGGTTGAGCATTGACCTATGAATCAGGAGGTCATGGTTCAATTCTAGGTCAGGGAACATGCCTGGGTTGTGGGCTCAATCCTCAGTGTGAGGCCTGCAGGAGGCAGCCGATCAATGATTATCTCTCATTCGTTGATTTTTTATCTCTCTCTCCCTCTCCCTTCCTCTCTGAAATCAATAATAAAAATATATTTATTTTTAAAGGAATATCAATAAAGAGATAGAAAGTATTTTAAAGAAACCAAATGGTAACTGACACTGAAAAGTAAAATAACTACAATAAAAATTTCACTAAAGGGGTTCAACAGTAGATCTGAACTGGCAGAAGAATTAGCGAACTTGAAATACATCAGTATAGATTATGCAAGCAAAAGAACAGAGAGGAAAAAGATGAAAATAAAGCTTCACAGAAATGTGGGACACCATTAAGTGCACCAACATATATGTAACAGGAGTACCAGAAGGAAAGGAGAAAAAGCAGAAAAAATAATGGCTGAAAGATTCCCAAATTTATTGAAAAACATTGATTTGCATTTCCAAGAAGCTTGGGGTCTCTGGCGTTGGAGCTTGAGGGCTGCCACCCCAGTTTCCTGTGCTGAGTCATTCCCTCACACTGCAGAGGACATCTTTCTCCAGTGAACCTTTGCTATCCAAGCAGTTTTTCCCTGGGTGGGAAAGGCAGTTGCCCCACCCTGTTGGAAAACCTCTCACCCCACCCTGTGGTCCATAGCTTGAGGCTAATCAAAACTGAGTGTCAATGGGACTGAGGGCAGGGGCAGGCAAAGGCGGGTCTCTGGAGGCTTTGAGTCTTTGCCTGATCTAATCTGGGGCCCTGGACTAGGAAAAGCAGACCCTGGTGTATATTTTGGTCATTTCCAAAGGCAGCCAGCCCCAGAAGAGGGAGCCACAAGCTGTGGATTGCTTCTAGCTTCACACAGGGTATTCAGAGCCAGTCACAAACAGCATCTGACATTGTCCTGCACTAGAGACTTGGATTCATAGCAGATCTACCTAACACACAGACTCAAAACCCAAATAGGCATCCAAAATGGGGAGATAAAAAACAAGCCCCAAATGAAAGAACAAGAGAATTCTCCAAAAGAAGAGCTAAATGAAATGGAGATAAGAAATTTATCAGAACCCGGAGGGTGTGGCTCAGTGGTTGAACATCAACCTATGAGCCAGGAGGTCACGGTTCAATTCCAGGTCGGGGCACATGCCTGGGTTGTGGGCTCGATCCCAGTGGGGGGGGGGGGTGCTGGAGGCAGCCAATCAATGATTCTGTCTCATCATTGATGTTTCTATCTCTCTCCCTCTCCCTTCCTATCTGAAATCAATAAAAAGATTTAAAAAAAGAAATTTATCATAGAGTTCAAAATAATGATGGCAAAGATGCTCAACAGCTGGAATGTTGCCTCTTCTAAGCCCAGCCTCCTCTGCATGACCTTCCAGGCCTATAGTATTCTGGCTCCAATCTGTTATGCCTCAGCAGTTGTTGCTCTTCTGCCTTCTGCACATGCTCTCCCTATGTGATTCCATGAACACATCATCTTGTTTCATACTTGCCAACCTTGGCACGGGCCTCTTCTGTCTACAGTTCCCTTCCTGTTTATCCTGGCCAGCCCATCCCCCCCCCCCCCATCTGGTCCTACCAATTTGTGGGCTCTCCTCAATGAAGCTCCCTAGATGCCCCTCTCACACATTCACTCTTTCACTTTCTACCCAAATCTCTGT